AAAAAAAAAAAAAAAAAAAAAAAAAAAAAAAAAAAAAAAAAAAAAAAATTACTGCTCTTGAGACCAACAAGAGCTAAATTAACTTTCTAAAGATGTTAAATTCTGCAGCTCCTAATCCCTATTCACAATCTTGTTTTTCCTTCTATTTACAAAGCAGATAAACATGGAATGACAGACGAGAGAATATGCAACACCAAACAAATTGTCCTTTTCTTTTTGAATTCAAGACATTCAACTAAGGTTTATATCAACCCGATCTGGGCTGGCCCGTTCGGTATGATCCGGGCCGAGCTCGACTCCAAGTTGTCCTTTGTCACCTGACCCGAAAGCGTAAAGCTTATTCGAATCCGTGAGAGCAAAAGTGTGAGCATTCCAGTATATGGAATTAGTGAGGCTTATCTGTACAACCTTTTCATTTATTTGCTTTAGGGAAGTCACGAGCTGAGGGGTCAACACATTCGCGGGCCTGTTTCCCTGAAAGTCGGATGAATTGAACGGTCATTTAGTAACGATAGAAAGTAATGAGAAAACAGCTGATATTAAGCATTTCCGGAAAGCAAAAGTAGGTCTAATTATAAAAATTCCCACGGGGTACAGTTGTAAGTATAGCCAACAAAGAAAAACCGAATTTTGTCAAACTTTATTCAAACCAAAAAAGAAAAAGAATGCATTTTTCTTCAATTTGCCCAGTGAGCTATATATCTATTTTCATATTCTATCATGGCTCATCAAGTACCACAAACAGTTGAATTCTTCAGTATGTGTCTTTTTTGATTTCTCAAAGACGACAAAAACTCAAACAAAGAGCATAATTCAATGTATATAGATCCATAAATAAAAAAAATAAAAAATATTGCGTTCAAAAGCATCAAGAGAAAAAAAAAAAAGAGAGAGATAAGGTGGTTTCGCTGTAATTCGGTCTCTTTTTTCTCTAACCAGTCTCAACCAAAGTTAATAAGGCTATATTTGGTAAAACTAACTGATAAGTTAGATGATAAATGATAAGTGATTTTCAAGCTTATAGCTTATGACTTATGGCTGGAAAGCTAGCTTATATGATAAAAGTATTTGGTATAATTAATAAAAATTTCAACAGGCTTATTTGAAGAACTACCCAAAAAAAAGCTTATGAGATAAGCTCGAACTTTTTAAAAAACTCGTCCTACCAAACAAAACTTATTTGAATACAAGAAGCTTATACGCTAACCGAATAAGCTATAAGCTAGCTTATTTGGTTAGCAAACATAGCCTAAGAGAGTAAAACAATGAGCCATAAGTTCCATTTTTCAAATAAAGAAATTACCTGCTCTTCAGC